TTGATTAGCCTGCTCACACAGGCTGTTCTCGTCAGATCTGGAAAAGAACTTTGTCTCGCCAGCTCACAGGGGCTAATCTCAACAGATCATCAAGTGTTTGTCTCGCCCGCTCACAGGGGCTAATCTCAACAGATCATCAAGTGTACTTTGATTGGCCGGCTCTCACAGGCTATTCTCGTCAGATCTGAAAACGGACTTTGGCTAGCCCGCTCACAAGGGCTATTCCCAACAGATTGTGTTCTGGACAGATCAGCAAACGTTCTTTGGCTAGTCCGCTCACAGCGGCTCTTCTCAGCAGATCAGCAAGTGTACCTTAATTAGCCTGCTCACACAGGCTATTCTCCGTCAGATCTGTTTCCCTCCTCTCTCTGATGACTTCCGTAACCGCTTCCTCATCGTCGTGGCGAGGGCGAGAGACACCTTGTACGACTTTCCTAATCCCCCTCTGCTCGCTGTCCCCGCCTGCATACCCCCTGTGACGAGGGCTGGGTACGCCGTGCATACCTCCCCTGCTCTCTAGTCCCCTTTCTCTTTATGGTTGCGGAACGTGGTCTTTCCTCCTCCCAGGTCCAATCCGTAGGCCTTCGCAGGCTRAAGGTAAAAGCAGGGCCAGGCCCAGCGCTGGTGYAAGGGRACTCATATACAGTCTCAGCGGGACCTGCCACTGAAACCTACTGTAAAAATAAAGCCAGATACTTCCGTATGGCAGGTACTCATAGCAGACCTGTCACTTTTGCGCTCCAARGCCAACCACGGTACTTAAAAGCAATTGTATTATACCAGCTACCAACAGAGAAGCCGAACCGCGGTTCGGCCGTTGCTCCSAACACCCAGTTACCATGCTCGTTCCGTATCTGTCCCGGATCAAAATGTCGGGCCGAACCAGAAATAGCCTCTTGACAATTCTAAGCTGTCAACACCGAACTGAGAATAAATCACTGCGAACCTGAAAGTGATGTAGTGATGTGTATCATACCGATGCCGGATACCGTAGAAAAYTGAAAACCAGKGTAGTACCGAACCTATTCCGGACCTGAAGCAAACTGCGGCCAAGGTTCCAAACCTGGAAAAACTGTCRTAGTGGCCCCGGTCCTGAGAATAAACCGCCGCAGCTGTCCCGAACCTGAAAATAAGTCACCTTAGTGAAACAGCTGTCACCGGGCCTATACCGTACCTGAAGCACKTCAGACACCGTAGGACCTAGCCACCCCGTATCAACCCTCGTATCCGCACCGCACCAAACACCATAGTCGACCCAAGGCAGCACCTGTCCATGCGACCCCCGCTCTCAGAACATCCCAACTGCGATAAGGTTAGTAATCAAGCAAACCAGYGAAAACGACGCAGGGASCCTCGGTCATAAGCAGTAGTGGAAACTGATWAAATTCGGGGAAAATGCTCAATCCGGGGTCAGGGCTGATGGCGGGTGACCAAAGCGAAAATAGCCCAATCTCCCAATAGTCATGGGTTCCCGTCCCTTTTATCGTTTTTAATCATCCTCCTCTTTCCTTAATTCTGTTGTCGGGAATAGTAAATAAATCGTAAGTTCCATAAAATTCAATCCCGGGAAAGTTTAAATAAATGACCGAATTCCTTGTGTTTCTTTTCTCTTTTGCGATTTTTAATMTTTTTCTATGTTTTTAATTTAATTGTYGGGAAAAYAAAATAACAACGGTATTCCCCCTAGAATTAAATGCTATGAAAAAATGAAGAAATTAGAGGATATTATGTCTTTCCCTTCTCGCCTACTGGTCTTAACCGCTCTTCCCACCTTTAATTATGGTACTAAAATAGACGAAAATTTGAGGCCCCGTTTCGCCCCGRTCGTATGCTGCAAAAACGTTGCGGCGAGGTCAACTCCCTTGATGCCTCTCCGCGGMAGGTCAATCCCGGTCTGACCCTCGGAACGGTCGGAAATGGCAGTCCCTAGACATGCCGAGTCCGGTCACCCATCTCGSCATCTTTGAGGGTTACTCATAAAGCTCAGTGCGCCCAAAATCAGGGGTGCCCTGAGTTCCCCTAATTTTTGCTGCCTGGTCATACGAGACTTCCATCAAAACACGGATTTGCCCCTGAGCCTAAGTCGCAAAACTGCGGATCTCAGGCGGCGCACTGCCTGTGGCCGCCTGACAACGTGACCAAGAGCTCCGTTATCGAGGAGCCCGTTCCAGTAGAGTTACCGCCAGTAGTGCCATGCAGGAGCGAGGGGATGGGTATTGAGGCATCAACTCCGGAGTGCGAGAGGCCGCAAGTGAGAGGAGCCTCAAGAGAGACCCGAGAAGAGAAGTTCGCTCGAGTCGGGGTCCGCCTGGATGAGATATACGCGAGACAGGCTGAGATGGAGGCGGCAGGGATAGAGCCGACACCGTCGGTCGAGCCCAAGACGAGCGAGCAGAGGATCGACGAGTTGTGGGTTAGATATGAGAGCCAGAGGGATGCGACCCGCCAGAGGTCACGAGAGGCAGGACAGGCGGGCGGGGAGACGAGTGAGCTGAGGGAGGTGGGAGACGTGGGATTCTCTGGGACCAGGATGGCGATTGAGCGCGTGGATCGGAGGGTATGCGAGACGGCAGTCACATCTTTCCAGTGGTATAACCTACTCAGCAATGAGCTCAGAGTTAAGGAGTTGGCGGTAGAGCACCTGACTACTGCTTGCCGTGGAGAGGGCGAGGAGCCAGGCTAGAGAGGTTGAGTGGGAGAGGAGGTTTGGGGAAATGGCGGCCGCTGTGGATAGGCTCTCGGTAGCCTGGGAGGCTAGCCAGATGGGGCGAGCCGGTGTCGATGGCGAGGGCCGAGGGGTGCAGGCTTCGCCGAGTCAGGGAGCAGCGGTAGGGGTCCCTCGACAAGCCGAGGCAGTGGAGGAGGTGCTCTTGGACGTTACCGAAGGGGAGGGTGGCGCGCAGGAGTCGCTTATGGCTATGTCCACGGAGAGGAGGAGTTCGCGTTTGCATGAGCTGGCGGTTGCCATGGGGATAGGCACCCCACAGGAGCGGCCTTAGAGGCTCGACGCTCCAGAGGATGCTCCGAGGTCGGGAGAGTTGAGGACGAAGCTGGGCCCTTGGGCCACGGGGACAGACTTAGGAGGACCTGACTCGCGGCAACAGCAGCAGCAAGAGGTCATGAGTGAGCCCACCAGCATGATGGGCTCTCAGCCGTCAGGTTCATGCAGGGATGAGGTGGTGGTTGTGGCAGAGAGGGCTCATGAGGAGGGACCCCGAGGGTTGGATATGTCAGACTGCAGGCCAGTGAGCACAGCTGCACGAGGGAGTGAGGGTGTTGAGGTTATGGAGCCTGGACCTCAGGGCCATATGGGATTGCCCTCGTGTCATGACGTGACTACTGAGACCATGGGGACGCCTTCAGTATCGAGTTCGCAGAGGAGAAAGAAGAAGACTGTCAGGTGGCACGATACCTCCTGCTTTTGGTGCAAGGAAGAAGGGCATAGAGCCGTGGACTGCCCATAACTCCTAGAGAATAAGGCCGAGGGGGGAGTTGCGGAGTTCAACGGCAAGTTCCACGACAGGCAGGGCAGGATAGTAGAGCGAGCTCCAGATGGGGGTAGGGCTCAGTTGTATAGGCAAAACTAGGAGGAATTGTATAAGTAAGGACTGGTCTGTCTATGTGTCAGTAGGGTCAGAGTAGTGGCACACAGGGGGGCGGATTGGAGGTGTACATATGGTTAGTTGGCTGAGGGGGCCCTAGATGTGTGCATACTTTAGAGATGGTAGGATGAGTCCCTGCCTGCTTGTTCACATAATTGATTGAGGCTCCTTTGAGTTTTCTCTCATAGGCTACAGCTTAGGGCATGAGGGTCGGCCATAGGACGCATGGGGCTATTCAGTCCATTTTTGATTTCGTAGTGCGGAGGCTACTTGAGTTTGAGGGAGACTTGGGGGTGAGTTTTCACTAGTTAGGTGAGGCAGGGGGTTTAGGCACCTATTAGATTTAGGCAAATGTTGTGTCCTGAGCATGGTCCGTGGGTGTACAGTAGGGTCGGGAGCCATACTCAGATGAACAGAGCTTGAGTGGAGTGTTTGTGTTTGAGCCTTGAGGGAGGCATTCTACTCCCTGAGTGTATTATGAGTTGAAATTCTATCGGACTTGTCTTGTGACGATCACTATCATTCTCACATGTGTGGATTTATCTCGATGAATGTTTGGCTTTATGTGAGAGATGTACATGATACATCATATGAGCATGATTGCGTAAATTGTAAAGTTGTCTACCCTCCGGTATACTCGTGCGGTCTGCTGCAAGCGGACGAGAGGGCAGAGTATAAGGAGGGGAAGTGCAGCCTGTTCGTGAAAAATGTGAGAATCCTACGGGATTTAGGAATGTGCATGTTTGGCCATACTAAACATCGTTGCCTAAATCGTATAAGGACCCAGAAGGTGGTCCCTCAGTTTGAGTTGTTTGATAGTTAAGACCCCCTTCATGGTTTTGGAGAGTGTAAATTATATGGTATAGAGGCCCGTTCATGGTTTTTGGAAGAGGTCGTATGAGGAGTCATCCCATACAAAAAGAGGATGACCGTGGAATCTTTTATGAGAAGCACCCCTTACCAAGTAAGGGTGGATATAAGTTGAGTGGTATGGAAAGTATTGTTTGTGTTGATGAAGTCTGACGGGAGGGAACGATGTTTGGTCGAGATGTTTGAAAAGGGCGAGAGATGCCTCAGGATGGGCGACTGCTGGCTCTGATCAAGTCAGGAGCCGCGGCCTGGTGGATCCGGCGGAGAGGTTGTTTGTGATTGAGCGAAGGATGCCGTGCTTACTACGTAAATGCCTTCAGACCCCTGCGTAGTCCCGCAGCGGCCTGTGAATTGTTTGTGATGCCCCGCCTGGCCACCTGTGCTAATTCTGATACATATTTAAAATGAATACCAAGCTAACGGTAAAGTTTAGTGCCACCGGGGTGCAACCCCTAGTGGATGGCTGTTAGCCGGCACAACCTGGCTGCGGGCCCCCAAGGTGAGAGTTTAAGGGGACTTGCCCGCCCCAGGGAAATTACCTAACGGGATAAGAGTTGAGTCTTTTGGAAGCCCTGATTGATTGATTATCGGGGACATACCTACCGTTGTATAACCAATGGGAGGATACTGCCGCTAAGGTAACAATGCGGTGGGCCGTAAATCTGGCCCGATCAACGAGACTATGGTAGGCTCAGATGGAGACCTGGCGTTTCTGTACTAGACTGCAGAAAAGGGCCGAGAGAGGCTATAGGCTATATGTGTGCATTTTGCGTGATGGTGAGAAAATTGCTGAAAGAAGGCAAGGATGCCTTCACAGGTCCCATTCAAAGCCCGCGTCCCAAGTTATGGCTCTGTCTGCGAGAAAGCAACTAACTAGGACACCCAACGAGAGGTCGATGGTTGTCTAGGACAAAGGGGAAGAGGGCCTTTGGAACTTATGCTGTAGTATTGGTGCGTAATACACCGGCATCCTGGTGTTGGGACAATGGAAACCCAGGTTGAAACCCTGGCAGCATATAGTTGTGTTGGCACGGTTTGATGGAGGCCTCAACCCTGAGTCTGTCAGCTAATCGGATTGGTTCTGATCTCGTCAGCACCTGGAGTGTGGAGAAATTTATAGCTTTCTGATCTGGCGAAGCGACGGGGACGTCGCTTAATATGGTCCGGTAAGTTGTCGGCGCGAATACCCTTACAAGGGTATCCGCCCTGGTTTTTGCAAGTGACAGAAAGGTTCGGTTAACCTGGATTTTGAGTCCCCGTGCGGGGAAATGTGAGGGTCGCCCGCGCGCGGGTCAAGGTCTGCCTTGTCCCGGTAGGGAGTAGGTGGGCGCGCAGTATTTAAGGCACGCGTGTGATTTTTTCGATTGAGTGGGCGGTCGGGGTAGCCGGCCGACCCGTACTAGGCCATGAGGTTGGTTAGGGGATGAAAGTCCGCTTTTTGGCCGGCGCGCGCGGCTGATGGTAGGATTGACGTGTCGGTAGGTACATGGGACGTCCACGGCGCGGGGTGGTGGCCCGATGTGGGCACCTAGGGGCCGTGGGTATAAGTGTAGGCTGAAAAGGGGTGGTTAAGGCGGTATCTTAGCCCGGAGCGCCGTGCGGTACCACTTTGTATGGGAAGCCGCGCCTGTTGGTCACAGGCTTGGGCTTAGCCCTATTGGTTACAGTTGTGGACTGGTGTGCAGCGGACACAGGGATCGAGGCCAACGGCATGCGGAGAGGAGCGGAGGAGCGTGGCGGCGAGGCTTGAGGGGTTGATGGGCCTAAGGGACTATCCCCTTCGCCTTTTATAGTTATGGGGGCCGCAGTTTCCGCTTGACTGCCGCACATTTTGCGGAGTCCCATATATCAAAGCGTGTATGGTTTATCTGTACCGAAGTCTTGTTACTATCTCCTTTTTGCGCTCGTATGGGGGCGCGAAAGCCGCGGTGGGTACGTCCATGAGCTGTTGAAATGCAAATTGGTGTTTGATGACGGAACTTGTGGGTGAAGCCAGGCATTCCGTCTTGCCTGGGGCCGGCTCCCTTCGCGGTGAGGCTGGGCCCTCTAGGACACCTGTTAAGGACGGAACAGGGTCGAGGTGGCCTGCCTGGCCTCTGCATAAGAATGACACATAAAAGTCCTGAATGAATCCGGACGCGGATCGCGCCAGTTACGCACAGGCCAGTGGGGGTAATGCGAGGGGAGTTCGGGGAGAACCCGGGCGAGAGATAGACCGGGTACATGTCAAGAAGAAGGCTCTATAGTCTCGGGTATCCCCCCGGGCGAGAGACAGACCGGGTACATGTCAAGAAGAAGGCTCTATAGTCTCGGGTATCCCCCCGGGCGTAGTCCGTTGGAGCGCCTGTCAAAAGTTGTAACACGGAGGGGATCTGTCTGGCCCCTGTGTAAGTTGGAAGAACCCGGACGTACGTACGGAAAAGGGAGCCCGTGGGGGGGGGAGGGGGCCCGACCGATGGTTGTTTGCTGGGGTGGCCACGAAGTGCCAGCCTCTCGAGTCCTTCGGGATATCTGTTGAAATCGGAACAATATAGAGAAGATTCACATGGCCCTTGCGCAAGGTCTACATGTATAGAGCCCGAAAGGGGGGCCAGGGCCATGTGGGAAGAGCTAAGCGGGCGGGGCGAATCGTCCGTGGGAAGAATCTGAGTGCGGAAAAGAAAATTTGCGTAGTCAAGGAGGGAAAGTCCGAAGGGGGGGGGGAACCCGGACGGGATGTAGGGAAGGTTCGTGCGTGGAGGTAAGGTGGTTTTTGGTCGCGCGAACTTCGAAGAGCCGCGGTGCTGGGCGAGTAAAAGTCCGTATCGTCGACCGCTGAAACTGGGACGATATAGAGGAGTTGGCATGGCCCCTACGCACAGAAAGAAAGATATAAAGCGAGGGAGGGGCCGTACGTACCGACTTTTTGCTACCAGTTTCTGGGTTGTTGAAGTCGAACACTGAGGGAGCGGCGCTACGGGGAAGGAGTGACGGAGTGTTGACGACAACCATGGGAAGCAGGGTGAATGAGGGCGTGAAGGCGGGCCGGTACACGCGGAGTGGAGGAGAGCTAGAGATGGCGAGAGGCCGGCAGGGCGCAACAGAGATCGGGTGTTTCGCGCGTGTGTCGGCGGATCTTGGCGGGGAGGGAGTCATGTTAGGGGTTCTCGAGGCGCGCGAATCTGAGTATATGGTTAGTTTCCGCAGAAGGATAGTAGGGGAGAGGGGAAAGGACTCAGACGCAGGTCCGGGCCCGATGCATTTAGCGGAGCGAGAGGGGGGCCGACGGACAGGACGGAGTGGGGCGCTGGTGCGACAGGCTTGAGGCAGGGGATCGGGCGCCGGCTGGACGAAGGAGGATAGGGGAATGAGAACGAACAGGGACGCATATTTGCGTCAGGTGTGTTCAATAATCGGGATGGCGATGGGAGTAGTCGGGCGGAGGGTGAAGGCAGCAACCCGGTCAGAGCGGAATGAACCCGACCAAGAATCGCGTCTGGGCTCATTCGGAGGAGAGAAAGGTGAGAAGAGGGATCAGGATGCGGCACGACTGT